AAAAAAAAAGCCAGAAAAATCAGAAAAAGCATGCACTGCGCGTGACCTTATTTTACTTCTAAACGCCGCGCACTAAGCCAAAACTTGGGTTATTTTGAGCACGTGGTAACATTTGTTGCGTAGCTTGAAAAGACTGTTAGCTCACTGGCTCTCCTGCTAAAATTACTTAGTAGGGCAACAGATGTATTGAGATATAATTGGTGTATAATAAGCACTACTACTCTTAGATCACGATAAAGCATCCCACCGATTTTAAACTCCCAAAGCTTATTAGAACAGAAATTTTCGAAATTTACAGCACTCTGCTCTGTTGCAGCTTTTATTTTCATTTAATTTACTTCAGTTTTTTATGGCCTTGTAACTGCGATGAGCAAAGCATCATACAGTAAATAATTTGTAGCCAGAAGGGACCGATGAGTTGAAGAGAAAGCAGCTTATGGAGCTGGCGATTATTAATGGAACATATCGCCCGGTCAACAAATACCCAATACGTTAGTTATATGTTCTTTAAAAGCTTCCATTAATTTGCTCTTCTTTTCTGCCAAAAGTTCAAAAGTGAACTTTGCGTTTAGCCTGTTTGCGATGGTGCATCGACTATACTCACTGATATTTATTTGCTAATTTTTTCAAGATTCCACACATAAACATATTGTGGAATTTGCAGAGACGCCACGTCTGATCGCGCCAATGACACTCGTCTCGCCGATCCGTCATCCGAATGGCTCAATCGCTGCTCAGCCGTTCTTTGTTTCGCCAGCAGGTAGTCCAATTACGCCAGGCACAAATATCAGTACGCCATCAGCTGTTAACGCATTCATGCAGTCACCGAATATCGACTACAATGTGATGATGAAGTATGCTCAAATCAGTTAATGGAAAATTTCACATGGTAACTTGCCGGAAACCGTGGTCACTTACTGGGGTTCACGTGTATTCCGATTCTCGCATCTTCAAATAATAGGCCTGCATAAACAGCATCGCCTTTTATTCCATCCCCGAAAAGTGACTGAGTTACCATTGTAGTCTTGTTTCTTTTCAGTCAACTGTCCTTCGACACGGCGCTCCAGTCATTCCCGATCGCCAATGACTTCCAGCAGCACTCATCGGCGCAGTCCTATCCGACCGCAACCTCGCTTCTGAACGCCGCAGCAGCATCGACTAATAACAATACGCTGCAGTCATATTTCATTGACTCTAATTCGATCACTCCTCCCGAATCCACGGGCTCTGGACGTCGCTGAAACTGCGAGTTGATAGATCGGACAAAAGCACACGCATCAATTACTGCGAGAAACTCATTGGTCGTTGGCGATGCGTTGACATACACGAACTTTTTATAAAACTTTTTTTTTTTCATTCGACAGCTACTGTTTTTAACGGATAAGCAAAATTATTACAGTTGTTTTATCGTTATTATTAGTTTCGCTGTTATTTATTAACTAGTAACAAACTTAATTGTTTTTACAGCTATTTGTATTTTCACAGCTCCTTTGTCGCATGCGCTGACATCTTCAGTTGTCTGTGGAAAATTTTTACATACTTTTTATCCAGAACTTTTTTTATTGTTTTTAACATTCCATATTTTTAAAGCTTTGATTT